CCGCAGAGGGTACTGCAGTGATGCAGCCGGCTCACATTTCTCTCAATCAGCAGCGCGCCGAGCCCGCCGGGCCGCAGTGCCCTAGGTCCCGCACCGGCGCCCTTCCGCTCTTCATTCATCAGCAGGGGCCTTCCCGCAGCAGCGAGGCTCCCTCCAGGCGCCCAGGGCCCTGTGGGGATGAGGAGAGCTGCCCCCGGTCACCCGGCTGCAGCCCCGGGCGTGCGCGGCGCGCGCTGCGGGTGCCGCTTCCTTCCTCCCTCTCGCGCCGGCTCCGCCATGCGCGCCACAGCCAGAGCCCCCACGCCGCCCCGGCAACGCACAGAGCCTCCCCCCATGGCCTCGGCTCTGAGCCTCCCCCAGCAGCCTCGGTCCCATCGGGGCGCCAGGACGGCGCTTCCCCCCCGCTGCAGAGCCTGGAGCCCATGCGCTGCTTTGAGGGGCCTGTAGTGACTCAGCAGCTGCTGGAAATGGCGCCGCAGGGAGCAGGATGGGGCAAGAGGGGACCTGGCCGCCCAGAGGCCGCAGTGCTCAGAGCCTGGAGAGGAAGCCCCATGTCTTGTAGCGAGGAGAGACTCCCATGAGTAGCAGCTGGGAACGGCCTCCTTTCCCTGGCCTGGCTGTCCAAGTGAACCCATCACCCCTCCTGATGTCCTGTGGCCCCCCAGCCCCACTGCAAGGTCAGGGACCTGATTCAGGGGAGACCTGGGAGGCAGCCAGATCCATGGTCACCCCAGGCTGGAGCAGAAGGGCTTCCCCGCTGCCAGAAACCCGATGGAGTATCCTGAATTTCCCTGAGCTCTGAAAAGCACACAGTCCTCCGATCTGCGGGGGTTTTGCTGCACCCAAGGTGCATGAGGGGCCCACACTGCTGCCCAGAGGGCAGCAACACTGACAGGGCTCTGGAGAGCCCAGCCACGCGTCATGCCCCAGTGCCCCGATGGGTCCCTCTTCCCTGCTGCAGGTGTCTCCAGCTGGGGAATGCCCCAGGCATGTGGCCAGCACAAGCATCCTGCCCTGCAAAGGACTCCTGGTCTCCTCCAGCTCAGAGCAGCCCTGACGCCAGTCACTTTGGTCACAGGCAAACCAGGTGACCCAGCAACAGAGACCCAGGCAATGCACACACTCCAGGATCTCACAGAATCACTGGATCACAGAAAGGTTGAGGTTGGAAGAGCCTTCTGGAGATCATCTCATCCAACTTCCCTGCTCAAGCAGGGTCACCTAGAGCACCTTGCACAGGATTGTGACCAGAAGGGTTTTGCATATCTAGAGGAGACTCCACAGCCTCTCTGGATAAGCTGTTTCAGTGCTCTGACACCTTCACAGTCAACAAGTTTTCCCTCATGTCCCACACCATCCTGGCCATGCAGGGCTCTGGCAAGCAGCTCTCTGGGCTCCTTCAGGTGCTGCTGGGGTTTCTCCGTTCCTGTCTCCCTCCGTCACCCTGGAGATCTTTATTCTCCTCCTTGCCTTTGTTCAGTTATCCCTTTGAAACAGTCCAGCTGGATTTTGATTCCCTTCCCCTGCCTTGCATTCATTTCTGGCGAGCAAGACATACCTTGCTTGGACCCTGCTTGTTGGCCCTCCATCCCTCGCTGCAGCAAAGCTCCTGGCCATGGCTCAGCCACACAGCTCCCTCTATAGCAGGGGTCTATCTGGAGGCATTGCAGGAATCTCTGGCCTGGATCCACTCTATGACCACACAGTCACATCTTGCTTTTACACCATCACTTCTCCATAGCTCATCCTGCCTCATTCATCCTCCAAAGGATGTCTGGCTTGGAGGAGACAACCAAGCCCACCTTGGTGAGACAAATGCTTGGGCTCAGCCACACTGAACCTGCTTGTGCAGTTTGGGATCATTTTACCTCACCTGCCAGCTGCCCGTCTGGGAGGCACTGCTCCCCTGTTGACAGTTGACAATGTTAGTGGCTGTATTTTTAATATTCTGGTTTTTTTGCTGGGTAAGAAATTTTGTAAGGCCTTTGCCTCTAGTCCTTCTAAGGATAATTCTTTGATGTGAGAACATACCAAAATCAGCATGAGGCGCCTGCTTTCTTGGCTCCTGACAATGCTAAGTAGAGACT